ATGAGACACAAATGTTAGCATTTAGTATAGTAATGATACTCCACAAGTATCTCACCTCTCTAGGACAATTGTAAGAGGTGCCGCCGCCACGTAAGAAAATGAGTTCCTTCCTTTTGAGGTCAATATAATTTTCTAGGATCAATGAAAAAACTCATTTAACATTTAACATTTAAGTATTTGCACGCTCAGATTATTTAAATTCTTAAATTATCCTTTTTTATTCCCTTGTCCTATTTGGATCAAATCTAGTATATACCAGATTTTTTTTTGGAATTTAACGAATCTGAGCACGCACACTACTCAAATGGCATGTAATCAATGTATTCTTAGTTTCGAGCATGTTCATTGATCACAGAAAATTATATTGACCTAAAAAAAAAAACTAATTTTCTTTCGTGTAGTTCCTATGGGAAAACTAAACGCTCGCAGCGGCACCTCTTACAATGGTCCTAGCGAGTTCAGATTCTTGGAGGATCAAATGCTAAAATTTGAGTTTATTCCGGTCGCATTGCAGGAATTTTATTTTTTTTTTTTTAGCGTGGTCTAATGTACATACATATAAACTTGTACATTTCTGGGCTAAGCGTATGTACATACATATGTATACATAAATGCATACATATATCTTCATAATGTTCATTTTATCGCACTCTTATTTACACAGCCCACTTTTTCCCCTCACCGCGTGCTCAGTTTTTAGTCACTTTGCTAGAGTTGCCATAGCCTTACCACTAAAATTACTTTTAATTTGAAGTACATACATATGTACATAATTATATGTGTACATATATATATAAATAATATTTCAATTACTTGTACTTATGTATCTACTGTTATTCAGCATTTGCACGCTTTTTGGTCGGCCTTTGCGTGTTCTCTCTGCCTTTTCATGCATAATTTCGGATCTTTGGTAAGATAATTTTATGGTACTCACCGTTTGCAAATCCACAATACATATCTACATAAACCCCTACACATACATACATATGTACCTTTTGTACTCATTCAAAAGCTTTTCAAATAGTTACATGCTTAGTTGTAGAATGATTCTAGTCCAAAACTATAAAACTTACATACTCATATTTACGCATGGCATT